AAAAGCAGAGCCGGTAAGTCATTGAAAAATTATTGTCTATCTGAAAATTTTTGATACAAATATAATTTGCTAGATTAGAAATTTGCAAAAATTTGATCACGCATGTAATTATATACTACATTCATTAACACATGACACAGTCTTATGATGTAAAAATAAAACATAGCACAGTTTTCTGAAGGCATAAATTTCCTGATACATGGTGACTTAAAAAAATTACATGTGTATAAATTATAGTAATTAATAATTATTAATGGTTATTGTTTTTGCCTTAGAATCATCCAAACAAACTCTTTGTTGATGAAGTCCTAACAGTTCAAAGGTCACTGAAGAATAAAGGACTGATTGTTCCTGAGGAAGAAGTACAAGTGTTTATCTATTGGTTACATCATTACTCCAGTGTTGTTGTACTCTTGTAGATTCAATTAGCATGGAGTCACGCATACAGGCTACACTTCTTGCAACAAACACAACAGAAAGCTCACAATTGTCAGAAAGGATTTCTGTTGAGACAGCATAGCCCACAAGTGAGATGCATGATTTATTCTAAAAAATGGCTCAAAAATTACCCCCCCCCCATTATTACTATTTTTCTAATGCATTTTGATGTCTTTATGCTGTGTAGAAAGTTTGAGGTGATTCAAAGAAATATTTTTCAAGTTACAACCATTTTAAAAATTGAGCCATTTTCTAAAAAATACCCAAGGCTATAGCCCATGTTTTTTTTTCAAAAAATGGCTCCGAAATCACCCCAAATTTTTATTACATTTTAAAATACATATTGATGTCCTTATGCTGGGTAGTAAGTTTGAGGTGATTCAGAGAAATATTTTTCAAGTTACGACCATTTTAAAATTGAGCCATTTTCTAAAAAATACCCAAGGCTATAGCCCATGTTTTTTTTTCAAAAAATGGCTCCGAAATCACCCCAAATTTTTATTACATTTTAAAATACATATTGATGTCCTTATGCTGTGTAGTAAGTTTGAGGTGATTCCGACACATATTTTTCAAGTTATTAGTATTTTTTAAATTGAGCCATTTTTGAAAAATACCCAAGGCTATAGCCCATGGTTTTTTCAAAAAATGGCTCCGAAATCACCCCAAATTTTTATTACATTTTCTGATACGTATTGATGTCCTTATGCTGTGTAGAAAGTTTGAGGTGATTCCGACAAATATTTTTCGAGTTATTAGCATTTTTAAAATTGAGCCATTTTTGGAAAAATACCCAAAGTTATAGCCCATGGTTTTTTCAAAAAATGGCTCCGAAATCACCCCAAATTTTTATTACATTTTCTAATACGTATTGATGTCCTTATGCTTTGTAGAGAGTTTGAGGTGATTCGAACAAATATTTTTCGAATTATTAGCAATTTTTTAAATTGAGCCATTT